CAATGACCGATCGGGGGTGCCAGCCTCCTCCCGGCACGCGATGCACTGGCCGCCGCGCAGTCGATGTCGGGGCACCGCCGGCATTCGCCGACAGGGTTCCATCCGATTCGGTGTATTGGTGGCAGCCCGAAGAGTGACCCACGCGAAGCTGGTGGACGTCGATGGCCGATGAGCGATGCCCTTCCGCGACCGGCGGTGGCAGTCTGTTCCACATCAAGAACAGATACCAGTCATGCGGTAGGTCGGCGACGGCGCGGTCGCGAGCCGATCTGATGGTCGCGCGGTGGGCGTTGCCGACGTCCACCGGGACCGTCGACTGGGGGAGCGCGGCCGCCGCCTCTGGTCGGCGCGCTCGTTGCGCTGTGGGACGGCATCCACTGCAAGTCGTTCACTGTGAAGCGGTCGTTTGACCGGGCCTGGCAGGCGGGGAAAGGGGGCCTCAGATGAGGTAAAATCATCCCTCAGGCCAGCTACCTCTCCACCTCACCATGGCAGATAAGCGGACACCCTCGTGATCATCGCAGCGATGATTGCTTATTGGTGTGTCATTATGGGAGAGGATGCCAGCCTCCTTTGCAAGATAGTCTGCCTTTAATATAGCGCAGCCCAACCCATTGCCTGTGGCAGCAGACTGGGCTTGATAATGCGGTGCAGGACACACCAAACGTAAGCGGCCATCTGTAACCCCTGTGCAGTAGGGCTGACTCAAGAGCCCAGAGTTGCCCTCTCCCACCATTCTGCGCACGTGATAACTGGATGGGACACGCCATGGTCAGCATCTGTTCAAACGCTGCCCTAAGCATGTAAAGCTCCACTGGCATGCTCCAGCATGGCCACAGTCAGTTCTCACTTCTCAGTTGAACCTCCAATGGAAACCCATCATGAAGTAGAGATCAGGGCGCCTCTCACACTGCAGCACACTCAACGACTAAGGTGCCATCTCATCACTTGCAGGTGGTTCTTGCCAGGAGCAATGCCAGCCACTCACATCAGGTGATAACAGCAGTGTACAACTGCAATCTTTAAGCATCTATGCTCTTTCTGGTTTTCTCCTGTTGAGATCCACTGCCATAATGGGCTTTTGTTGCGCTCCTCCCATGTGCAGACAGGTTTCCACTGAAACAAAGTAAAACAAATGTGATTAATAATGGCCCTGTTTCACCACCCAGACACTGTGTGCGCTGGTAGCTACGGCATACCATAGCGTCACTCAAATGACGTTGCATGTGATCTCTTAGTTTATGATGAATCGCGTTTGGAACAGAGTGAGAGAGGTCTAGAAAAACTAAGTACCTACCAAGAACAAAGGTTTGAGTTCAAATACTGCTAGCATGCTGCTGGCGCTGGCGCCGCAGCGTGCTAGCATTCTGGGATGCTGTCATAGCTTAGCGTCAGAGTGAAGTTTGTTGACACTACCATGGAAATCCAATGTTCTGACACACGCAGCGCACTGCAGTGATCTGCCGTGAAACACCACCCATGAACATTAATTGCATGACCAGGATCGGAGCAGTGCGGCAGACAGTGATTTTAATTTTAACAGTGATTGCAGACAGGCAGACTCACTTCGCAGGTGTGCAAAGTCATGGAGAGGATACTGAAGCGACACATTGTTGAGCACCTGGAGCAGCACAATATCATCAGTGAGCATCAGCATGGATTTTTACAGAAGAGGTCGTGTCAAACCAATTTGTTGGAGTCATTCGAGGAGTGGACGGAGATATTGGATGGGGGTAAGGGACTGGATGTCGTATACCTAGATTACAAGAAGGCATTCGACACCGTACCGCATAAGAGACTGTATCGCAAGCTAAGTGCCTATGGTCTGAAGGGTAGAGTATTGAGGTGGCTGATAGACTTTCTACATGCACGGCAGCAGCAGGTGAAGGTTGGTAGTAGCCACTCAAGTTGGGCCCACGTCTCAAGCGGTGTCCCACAGGGCTCGGTTTTGGGACCGGTCATGTTTCTGCTTTTTGTCAATGAGATTCCCGAACTACTACATAGCAGAGTGAAGATGTTCGCTGATGATATGAAAATGTACGGGGCAGTCACCAGCACCAACGACACACAGGCACTCCAACAAGACATGGACACACTCTCGCACTGGTCACAGACATGGCTGATGAAGTTCAACATATCCAAATGTAAAGTGATGCATTGCGGCACAGGAAATCCTCGAAGAGTGTACCATATGACACAGGACGGAACCTCGGAGTCGCTGGAAGAGACCTGCAAAGAGAGAGACCTGGGAGTGATTGTGGAAAATACATTGAAGCCGACACTACACTGCAAGATGGCAGCCAGCAGAGGCATGTCAGCCCTGAAGCAGCTCAAGGCGACCTTCCGCACAATAAGCAGGAGAAACTTTAAGCCACTCTACAACGCTTTTGTCCGACCCCACATCGAGTACTGTGCCCAAGCGGTTGGACCGTACATGGCGCAAAACTTCAAAGCGTTGGAGAAAGTTCAGAGAAGGGCGACAAAGATGGTGAAGGGGATGAAGAACGTACCATACAAGCAGAGACTCATCAATCTTGGTATGACAAGTGTAGAACAGCGCCTACGGAGAGGAGACCTTATCGAGACCTACAAGATATTGACGGGGAAGACGAAGCTGAAGCCGGAGCACTTCTTCCAGCAGAGCCAGGAGGGGAGAACCAGAGGACACTGCCTCAAGCTGACCAAGAAACGAGTGACCCACCATGCAAGGATGATGTTCTTTTCTCAACGTGTGGTGTCCCCCTGGAATGCTCTGCCAGAGGAAGTTATATCGGCACTGACTACGAACAGTTTCAAAAACCGGTTGGACCACCACTGGGCCACAAGGAATCCTCACTGAGTCATTTCTGACCTTATCCGGATGTGGGCCCTGAATAGACCCGGTCTACCCAAGCCCACTAGTAAAACCTAAACCTAAACCTAACCTAATTTTAATTGCACGAGTAACAAGTTGTTGGTGAAATTGCTATTCATTATTCTTATTACCATTGTCTATATTTCACATTTCAAGACAGCATTGACATGTTATCTAAAATAAGGTTTAGACTTCAGGTGGTCCTGGATTCAGTTATTAAGTAGAACAAGGGCAAAAAATCGTCAAAAAAATATTAAAAAATACCTGCCTTCATCAACACCTCATCTAATGACATATCTCAATGCAATCAAACACAACAATTGGCCCTAAAAGCAAGAACCGTTTGAATAACAATGTAATATTTTGCAACCGCTGCACCATTACTGTCACGTACGCTATCCCTAGATTGGTTGCTGGTAAGTAAGTGGTTGTCGTCATCAACTCGTCATGCAGCAGCTGATTGGGATGGGCGGGGCCTATTTTTATCCAGACGATAGAGAGAGCCGAAAAGAGGGCCGGTTGCGTGGCATGTCTGTTCAGAGTTGACATTTTGCTTTACTCCAGTTTCAGTTTATGACCTGAGAGCCTGGCTGGAAGTGACGGATCCAAACTTTTCACGTTAAAATGGCTGAGGGTGCAATAATCTCTAGTCTCTACATAGCGGGCTGGTATAGGAGCGTCTTGCTACGCTGCACCATAGCTGGCTAGTGATTCTCTTTTGGCTAGAAATGGCATTAATCATTATCTCCACTGGCGAAAATGGCACTTGACATCACCGAATGCAACGTTCATGTTGTTAGAATACATAAAATCAGGAAGATTACGCGAATTAGGTAGGCAAACGTGGAATAAAATAGGTGCTGGATGTTTTGGTTTTGGTGCTGAATCAGCAAACAGCAAATACGGAGTGCAACTAGACGATCTGGCAACTTTAGGCTGTGTGGGAGCAATTAGGTGCCAGATTCAGATATTAGGGTCGAATAAGCATTTTGGGGCTGATCAGCAATTAGGTGCCAGAAAAAGCTTTTTAGGGACCAGAAACAAATATTCCCCTTATTGAAATTGGGATTTGGGATACAAATATATATATATATATATATATATATATATATATATATATATATATATATATATATATATATATATATATATATATATATATATATATATATATATATATATATATATATATATATATATATATATATATATATATATATATATATATATTACATTTGCTTGGCAGATTTTCCAAAATTGTTTACCACCCATTGCCGCTTGTAGAAATTGACAGTATGAATTCAAGCCTCTATCAGGCTATGAACGCCAATACATTTGTGACGACGCCAATCGAAATGGAAAGTCCCGCATTTTTCAGGTATCACGCCGGTCAAAATATATCAAACACTCCCCACTCTGGATACTATCATCCTCGGTGAGTGTTTATTCAGTCAACGACTTCGGTATGCAGTATTTGCTGTTGATATCTGCTTCGATCTTCAGACATCGGGGTGCGACTGCAGATTGACATGCACCAGGCTGTCAGTAGATAATTAAGATTTCGTATGTTTTTGCAAGCTTTAGAACTTGTACCGAGGCGTGCAAAAGGCATATCGCATGACCATGGGGGAAGACCCTGTATGTAGAACACGCAGTAGCCTGAATTCCAGCGGGTGCATAATAAACTTTGAGCATAAGCAGAGCATCGGTGCATTCCAGACCAGTTATCATTTTTGTTATAATTTGGTATACCTACGCTATTTCCCGAACTTGCATTTTTAACAGCCATAAGCACCTGGTTGGAATTGGGATCCATTGCATATTCATGTGAATTTAACTTATATTGCAATAAGTAGAGTGTAACTAAGCTTATAAAAGGTTTTAATTTAGACAATGAGCCAGTCTCCAACCGTTTGGAAGATTCCTCTTCCTCCGTCCCAGGTAGTCATACGGAGCCTTCGAACCGATCGAAGCCGGCTGACCCATATCTGAAATAGCAGCGGCATACCCGTGGGCACATCTGTCTATTTAACTCACCCAGGTGCTCAAGAGGTCAATTATGACCTAAATGGTCACGAAGCTGCGTACAATTATATTCGAGAATCTAAGGTCATCAGATACGTGGCTGGGCCACTTGTCGTTTAGACAGCCTCGCCAGCGCTTCTGGTCAGGGTCGGGAGCGCACTGGCCAAGGCTCAGACTCCTTTCTCAGGCAACACGTCACGGTAAGATAACTGCACAAACGGTACCTAGTTACAGCAACAACGGGTTTGCTCTTTTTTAGACTATGGAAGATTCCTCTTGCTTTGTCCCAGGTGGTCAATCTGGGGAGTTCAAGCTCATCGAGGAATAAGTCGCGTTGACAGAAGTTAGTTTGTCAGTGTTTTCAGGTATTGTAAAATGACGATAATAACTCAAGTTTATTATTGCAAGAACGTTGGTATCCTATTCGGTGTGTGTTTTTCTCTTTTCTTTTTCATTATTGTTGGTTATCTGCATGGTCAGCAACTCCTCCGGCTTATATAATGTCATGTTGATGCTGTGTCTCCAGATACAAAGTGGTGCTATTAGTAAGACTTAGTTATTGTATACAGGACAGCAGGGCAGACGACAACTCATAGCAAGTACGCTTTCATATCAATATGCTACTTCGGTACACTCTTCCCGCCATTCATTTGTGTTCGGACTATCATGTATTACGAGCATGTTCTCACTAATTACATGAATCCATCCTAAGAGAAATTAGCGTTTGAAGAAGATTGCGTCTTTTCGAGCGGTCATTATCACTTAGCATTCTCTTGGCAAACCGTATAACTACTCGCACGACCTGGCGGTGTCCGCTCCAGAGTGTCCTGTTTTCCAGACGATGGAACGCTACCAGGGACGGGTGGCGGTGGTCACCGGCGTCAGCTCCGGCATCGGCGAGGGCCTGGTCAGGGCTCTGGTAGCCGCCGGCATCCGGGTGGCCGGCTGCGCCAGAAACGCTGACAAACTCCAGGTGAGACGAGTCCGGCGTAGTGTCACCGAATCATAGAGCGGATATATGATCAGCAATAATCACATCATTAGAAGATTGGTTATGCCTATACACCGTATAATTAGGATATAGATGATCCGACTGGGGGACAGGTAAGTACTCAGTGACCTGGTTCATGGTTGAATCAATACCGCATTAAGAATATTTAGGCGGTCAGCTCAGTACAGGCAGAAGACATAATAATGAAATAGGCGCCCACTGCGCCATACAGTCAGCAATGTCGCTAAGTAAGAATCCTGCTGATCTGTACCTCGGGGGCGGGAGGGCATGGAGCTTCTGAATCTCAGGCCTAAGCCGACCAGCGTGCTAGGGAGAACTCGGTTTTAGCCGCTGGTGGGGGGGGGGGGGAGGGGGAGACTCTCGGTTCCTAAGTTGATGGGATGGTCTGCACTCCGCGCTCTGCTGCCATGAGGAGTGGAGACGCTACAGACCAGCTTAATCCGGCAAATGCGAAGATATATATTATATGTATATAGTTAAAGTGTAAACTTCTGACGCACTGAAGCGAAATATTTTTTTTTTCGAATACACGATGGAGGCTGTAGCCTACAAAAGAAGCAATGCTCTTGTGATATGACCTATCAAATCTAATAGCATTATGTGGCAGCATGGAGTAGCGACCGTGTTAACTGTTTACTGAACATAACATTTCAATACTAATACGAGCTGTGATTTCATTCTATGGACCCCAGCAGCGTATCATAGATTAAAATCTCACCCCTTAATCTCTTCTAACCATTGTTTGTCTGGTGGGCACTCCTCTGACCATTGTCTGTCCGATGAGCTCCCCTGTCTGTCCAGTGAGCACTCCTCTGACCATTGTCTGTCCGATGAGCTCCCCTGTCTGTCCAGTGAGCACTCCTCTGACCATTGTCTGTCCGATGAGCTCCCCTGTCTGTCCAGTGTCCAGTGAGCACTCTTCTGACCATTGTCTGTCCGATGAGCTTCCCTGTCTGTCCAGTGAGCACTCCTCTGACCATTGTTTGTCTGGTGAGCACTCCTTTCTGTCCAGTGGCATTGCGCACACCTCTAACTATTGTTTGTCCGCAGATCAATCCTCTTACTATTTGACTGTCAGTGTAACTATCCTCTAACGACGGGCTTCCCGACTTTTGCCTGTCTGGTGAGCACACAGACGCTGAAGGAATCGCTCGGCTCTAATTCAGAGCACTTCCTGCCGGTGACCTGTGACCTCACCGAGGAGCAGCAGGTGCGCAATTTCTTCGAGCGCGTGCTGGCTGAATGGGGTGCTGTCGATATTCTGATCAACAACGCTGGCCTCGCCTTTAATTCGTCTCTGCTGGGTAAGTAAACGCAGCCCCCGTCTCACTGGGTGGTAAACATTCTTTTACAACAAAATCGAGCATAGCTCGAAGGCTACGTTATAAGTTGAGAGTTATAAGAAATCAATCATAACACAGAGACGCACAATGTTCTCCACTATCAACTGGTCCACCATTAAATAAATTGTCAGCCCAGTTTAAAAACAAAAAGCATAATTTTCTTTTAAGGTCAAATGCAAACCTATGTCTAGTGCCGCCAAACCGGGTGAGAGAGAAAAAAAAAACAGACAATCAGGTGCCCAATCTTTGGTGTGGACCTAGCTCGTCTTGCTGTTATGATTTCCGGGTGACCTATGATGTACCCTTCCAACTATTCTCGGTATTGTCAAAATAGCTACCAAGTCGTGAGGCAGGTCCTGAACAGTATACATGCATAACTTTGCATACAGCCACATATAGCCTGTAGTCATTGCCGCATACGCCAGGTTAGTCGAGACCTGTTTTGGTCGAAGGAAATATAACGATTCAGTGAGCGTATACTGATGCGCATGAATATTGCATGCCCCGTGTATGTGCATGGTTGAAATGTGTTCGCGAAGTACCTGGCATGATTGCATACTGCTCCGTTTCAAGATGCAGATACATGCAACATATAGAGCGTAACTGGAATTATAAATATGCCAGTTAGAATCATAGGGACGGAGTCATCCATTCTTATTTCGGTTGGCAAAGCAAGTGAGTTCCAGGTACCTTCACTTGTAATATTACATCAGTAGCGCATTGCTTGGGCTAAAAATCAGCATGACACGGTTGACAGACAAACATTAATGGTGCTAAGGTGGGTCGTGTCTTTTTCAAGCCGTCGAGTTGGAATGCCATAGAATGATAATGTATTAATTGCATATCTGTCTAGTTTATATCCTCATTTTCAGATGGCACCGTGGAGGAGTGGAGGACTATGCTCGATACAAATATCGTTGCACTTTGCTTATGTACGCAGCTGACAGTTGAGAGCATGAAGGAATCAAACATATCAGATGGCTACATCATTCATATCAACAGGTGAGGTACTAGGCACTTTAGATGTGCAAGTAAATATTCATTGTCATTCACTGTCTCATAATTGTCCAGAATAGTTTGTTTCTGGATTTTTGTGCATATCCTGTGTCTTTTATGAAAAGGTCCCACTAGCGTGTAGAACCGAAGCACTGCTACATTTGTAATTATCTGTGCTGCAATGTTTGTTTGAAATGAACAAAAACAAGCATCCTCCCTTGCATAGTTTATTCGCCACAAGTCGCTCAAACGTCAGCTAACTTTTTTAACTTTGTTCGAATTTAATTCACAGCGAATCCGGCCATATGCACCCGGTGCCGTCAAAGTTTCATTTTTACTCTGCTACTAAGCATGCCGTGAGAGCTCTCACAGAGACGATGCGGCTTGAACTGGCAAAAACTCTCCCAGGATGCCGCATCAGCGTAAGTCAGCTGTAAGCGATAATATTTTCAGGTAGGTATGCAACTGTTCGTGCACTTTTTACGATTTATTTTCATGTGTTTTACAATAACATGCCGCCATATCTGAGGATTATCATTAAGTTCAATGTCTTATCCCGAAACTCCAAAGGAATTCCTAAATCCTAAGCTACTACTGCACCAGGCTCACTTCGCACGGTAGATGCACACACTAGACGGTAGAGTGTACCGCCGTGCGTGCGTGTACTGCGGTACAGTCTATCGCTGCGCTGACAGGCGGCTGCGCGCCGTTTCAGTCGGTGAGTCCCGGCCTGGTGGAGACCCAGTTCTTGGCCAAAATGGCCGGCCGACCCGCCGAGCAGCTGAAGGTCTTCTCCAGAATGAAGGCGCTGGAGGTAGAAGATGTCGTCCAGACAGTCCTCCATCTGTTGCGGACGCCTGCCCACGTTCAGGTGCGGAAAAAGCTCGAAAGAAACTGGGCACCAGGCTATGTTCCATATTTTTTATCCTTCTGTATACATAGTTGTAAGTTAGATGCGATGTATACTTGGGCTCAATTATCATTTAGCTGTAAAAATTCATGCTGCATTTTTACCGATTATTTTATTTCCAGGTTCACGACGTACTAATGAGGCCGGCTGGTCAGACGTCGTGATGGGTCAGGCGTTAAGTTAGGCTGCTGAAACAGACTTCAATGCTGCACTGGTCCTCTTAGTTACAAAGTCTCGCGTCAGGCAACAGAGCTGATTTGACGGCAGGTAAACCCATGAAATTCAGCATCTGGGATATTTGAAGAAGCGATCGAAGCATTAAACGATATTAATGACGGATATAAAAAGACTGACACTGCAAAATAATCCTAATAGTGGTAAGGAGGCACGCAACCCATTGTTGACTTGTCCTAGGTAAGAACTTAGGTACTTGCCTTGTACATGCCTTGTACATTAAACCATGGATGAGAGATGTGAACCACAGTATTTCTCAACCACGATTAAAGGATGAAAAACATTTTTAGGCAATTAGGTGAGGGAAAGAGGAAGATTAAAAACTGATAAACGTGAGCGAAGCTATAAACACAATTAAAGGACTAGCGAAGAAACCGGAAATATATTATCGCCAAGGCCTGAATGCGTCTGTATCAGTGAAAAATATGTTGGTACACATACCTACGCATTTCGCTATCATTATTCTATAGGTCTCGACACATCGGCCTATTATGTCTGTCTCAGTACCAGAACTGCACGACGGGAAGCGCCTGAGAAAATAACAAGGATCAGGGCCAGTAGAGCAGCAAAGCACAAGAGGACAAAACTAGATACCACATATCCTCGTATATTCGTTTACTTATGGCAATTTCCGCAAATAGCAGACATATCCGAACATATTTTGGTAAGCGTATCCTGATAAAAGAAGATTCGATCAATCAATCGACTGCATATAATGGCCAGAAAACAGCTTCTGAAGTGGTCGGCCTGCCAGACGGCAAGCAAAAAATCACAGCAGCCAACAGCCTTGTGAGCGACACAGTCTCCTAATATTTTGGTTTGCCCGATTTGGTTACCTCTTGTAAGAACCATAGAGACTTTCACCCATGAAAGTCTACATAGTTACGTGTGTGATGCACAAACTCAGTGATTATTTATTAGACCCCATTAATCTATGATAACTTAAGGGTTACTGTCCTTTAGAAATTATGCCTTTGTCAAGTAAACCTGACTTTATGAATTAACCTACCAACATGTCTTCCTTCTGTTTTAGCTAACCATGCATCGTGTTATGATATTGCAAATTAAACGGAGTGTGACATATTGAGTAGCGTAGCGAGTTTTCTTGTCTCGCGACGTGCCCATAAATTCTATTTCAGCATCTAAGATTTGTCTTGGTGATGCATTTACTGTGGGTGCTTTTCGTTGGCATCTTACCTGATTGTTTGATTTATCTATTATGTAGGGGAGAGCGGGGTCATTTGGCCGCCCGGGTCACTTTGGCCGCCCCATGCCTACGCGTTTTGACGGTCCCGAGCGATTATATTTTAATATGACTTCATCCGCCGTCATAAGAACTACTTTGGAAAGAAACTAAGGAAACTCGGCGACGCCCAGTTTTTTGTAAAGCCAACGATATTTGAATTTTGGCTAAAAAACGTAACTTTTTCTTCTTAACGAAAAGTTGCATGGTGTCCCTTATTTGGGTGACATCAAAATTTTAACTTATTGGTAGAACAATCTGGTAATTCAGGGAGCTGTCTGACCCTTTTACAAGTTTAAGTAACAATTTTTGCTTGTCTGCGGACCCCTTTTCCTAAAAATGTCACATTGGGGTAAATTGGCCGCCCCATACGGGGCGAATTGGCCGCCCAGCGACTCAGTTGATTTTTTGCCTAGTCTGCGAGCGACGCGCTGCGCTGGCTAAGTTCTGCGACTGAGAAGGGTAATGCGGCGCAGTCTAAATGCAAGGGACGATCTAACCAAGGTGTCCGCTGATTGACTTTCGGCACCCGGCGGCAGATGGTGAACCCGGGACGTCACATCGACCTCTACCAGGTGGCGCCGATTTTTCGTCGTGCCTAAGACGCCACCTTCACGCGGAAGAACATCCTTAAGGGATTCGAAGCAGCCGGGATGTCGCTGCTCTACCGGGATATCATCGACGACGAAGACTGCGCCGCCGGCGGTCTTCGCACCGGTCGTCGCCCCAGCGACGGCAGATCAGCACGCCGCGGCCCCGGCCGTGCTCCAGCCGCCAGCCTCAGCCGTGCTCCAGCCGCCTGCCGCGGCTGTGCTCCAGCCGCCAGCCCCGGGGCCGGCCGTGCTCCAGCTGCCTGCCGCAGCCGTGCTCCAGCCGCCTGCTGTCGCCGTGTCTTGTTGCTTGTCGGAAGCCCAGAGTCCATCTGACCACTTCCGCAGCTGCGCATCAAGGTTCGAAAAGCCGGTCGGAAGAAAGGGCGTTCTAAAATCATGACTAACAGCCCGGAGCGGACGGCTTTGGAGGGCGAGCAATAGGCACGTATGGCGAGGAGTAAAAAACGGGGTCTACAAGCTGGACCGTCGAACCATCGAACGTCGGGAGCTGGATCGTTGAAGAAACAGGGGCGCAAAGGTGAAAAACAGTGAAGCGCAGTGATGACTGGACATGTGTCCATGCCGCCAATAACTCCGACGGGGGGGGGGGGGCGGATATCCGCCCCCCCGTCGGTGCGCGTGATAAGTGCTGGGTCGAAGACGGGGCCTGCTGGAATCGTTTTTATTTCATGTTTACGACAGAGTTTGAAATAAACAAACAACTCGTGCACAAATGACTTCTTTTGCAGTGTGATTGTCGTCTAAAGCAATCTACGATTTGGCAGCCATTACAGTTGGCTGTTGTTATCACTGGGCAGTGCTCAACTCATAAGTCGTAAGCTCGTAAATCAAATGTGGCTCCTCACTTGCACTGATTCAAATGAATCGAGTGTAAGCCTAGTCTTTGGAAAAATTAAGGATTTCAGGCGAATCAAAGATGAGTCACGATGCTCATCATTTGTGTCAGCATTGGGGCGTCTGGATCGTCACATCAGTCATGCGTCGAGTCAATCCAGAATTCATGAGTTAAGCACAATCTTGGGCGTCAATATTTCAGGTTGTCTCAGCTCTGTAATGGGTATATCTCTGAATCACATGCCCGGCCAAATGACCCCACTCCCCCGGCCAAATGACCCCGGTACCGGGGTCATTTGGCCGCCGTGCAGTCTTTGAAAGAACGGTTTAATTGCTACCAAAACGAGATGTCCCGGCATGATGCAAGTAATAGGCCGGAACAACAATTAAACGCCCCACACCCCTCCATGGAGAAATCGACCAAACGCGCACTGGTTTTCTCAAAATATCATTTTTACAAAAGGGCGGCCAAATCGCCCCGTTCTCCCCTACCTAGATGTTTCCCTGATTTCCATTGCTTGTCGAGCATGATAGACACTAACCGTGTTTGAAAATTACATATCTAAGCTATCGATTTACTGTCTTTATTGTAGAATATGTATATTGGCATATCCTTCTCTCTCTTGCACATTCACAAGTCGCAATGGAGGTCTAAGGTTATAAGGTATACTCGTATGTGAACGACTATGAAGCGATTCAAAGAAAACAAATGTCCCCGGCAGCAGGCAGTCGCATTTGTGCGCCATCATTCAAATCAGATTTATTTCTGCATTTCTTGCATTAGTATCGCAATGATAGATATGAAATATACAAAACAATAGTACAGAACGTAAATGACGAAAGTTATGCCACATAAAGCATTGACGACCAAGGTTACAACATAAGTTGAACAGCCTTTATAATCTGTAGGTACGCACGTAATTCAGCATTTGGCTCACACTTTTATCGGTATAGCAAAACTGTAAAATCTATGCATAAAGCGGTTTCAAGTCGCTTAGCGTAAGACAGAACGACAGAACATCAAACACATGACATGCTATTGAATTGTCACTGTTATACCAACGAATCGGCGAAGACTCTCATTTAAGACTGCAAACAAATGTCGATTATAAATAAACCATGCTAATTCATCGAAATGTTTCTAGATATCAAGCCTGAAAATCGCTCAAGAGGTTCCTGTCCTAGTTATATTGAGCCTTCTGAGCTGGGTCCTTGGACTCAATAGGCGGCGTTAAGGCCTTAGTGACTGGCTCGCCAAACCGACAAGACGAGTCATCGGCCTCTGCTACTGTTTGGTACAAAGCACAACGCAAACAAAACTGACCACCGGGCGCCGCACGGAGCCTGTTGATGACAACGGTGTGTTGCGCGCCACCGAGGGTCGCAGCGACACGGCACCGCGGACGGCACGACGGCGGAGATCGCGCGCCGCGCCGCCGTCGACGGCACGGACAGCCTCCCCAGCCACTGGAGAAGGCGCCGGGCCGGCCGGCTACGGCCAGGCCCTGCCGAACCTCAGGAACACGTGGTCGACATCCTGCCGCTTGGCGCCGTTGTCACTCACGCCCAGTTCGCCCCGCACTGCGAACAAACGGGGTGTGAGCATCGTGTAGGGGAGAGTGGGGCACATTCGTGCATGGGGCACATTCGTTTTCAGCAGTTTATGAGAACACGAGTGACTGCACGAGCTCAAGGTAAATTATGGAAATATGTCTATCATTGCCGCCCTTCGTTCACCGTAGAAGACAACACTGTACCTGCTGTCATGCTTGATAAAAACGCAAATTTGTAACATTCGTGAGCTTTCCAAACTTTTCTCATATCATCCATTTTCGTGATCCTGACTCGGAAATGTGGTTCAGCTTTTCAAAATTGGGGGTGAAGAAGCTCACTCTATTCACGGAACTGCTGCAAACTTGTTTGTTGAAAAAATGTCATTTTTTCAAAAAGAAATTTTGAAATATATTACTAATAACGTTGTGGGGCAGGTTCGTGTACGCACTGCCTGGGGGCACATTCGTGCATATTTTTTTTAGTTTTTGCGATTTATGACTTTATCTGTAGTAGGTTTCTCTAATAACGTTCGCCTGACTCAGTCTCGACTGCTTGCGACGTCGTGACGAGCAATTCACGCGAACTTGGCGAGGTCACGGAGGCCGGCAGTTGGCACATTCTTGTTGGCCAGCCCATTCTTTCTACATATGTTGTGCAATGCATTCTTGTCGAAAGGAATCAAGTGAAATGACCCCCTGCCAATTTCCTTTGGTAAATTTCTGGTAATGCCCGGTAATTTCTCGAACTTTGCAGGGTGAACGGAAGTGCCCCACCTCTTGAACGAATGTGCCCCATAGGTGGGGCAGTTTCGTGCAAATGTTCAGAGTTATTAAAAGTCATTTTTGCTAATGGAAGCAATAATTTTAGAGGATAACTTTTAAAGAGGAAAACTATCTGCAATAGTTCCTTTCCATACTACAATCAACAATTTTGCCATTGCACTAACCAAAGAACAGATATATGGGTTTATCCATTTTTTGCACGAATGTGCCCCACTCTCTCCTAAATAAACAGGCCACCTCATGGGACTGGTGCCAGTCGCTGCACTCAGGAATCCGTGAACACACAGTAGCATGCTTAATGCGAGCACGGGGAAAACAAGTTTGCTAGCAATTGGTGATGGTGTCCATACAAGTTGCTGCTGTATTTTGTAAAGAT